TGATTAAAATATCAATAATCGTAATCATTTTAAAAAAATTTTTTAAGCGTAACAAAATAAAAATATATTAAACTGAAAATTTGTTCTAATTGATCATGTTTGTTCAATTGAGGATTGAGCGATTTTTTCCAGAATGGGTATTTGAATTCCAAATTGTTTGAGTTGAAAATAAGTCAAGTACTGAGATACCACCATATTTTGTGTCATTTTTGCAAATGATTACTTAGCTACAATTAAAAAAGTTAATACTTACCTAAAAATGTTTAAACTGTACTAAATACAGAGTATTTAAACTGTACACTGTTTTGTTTTTATAGATATATAAAAACAAATCAGTGACAATCTTAAAAGGCTAAAATCTGAAAGCAGTGACAACATCTGGTTGAAAGAAAAGCTAGGACAAGGAAAAATTGCACTATCAATTTTCATTAAACCTGATGAAAGGCACAAAACAAATTAAAAATTTCAATATTCTAAAATCCATGGGCAAATTTGAGACATCACACATGCTTACTTGAATAAAGAAATATTGAATAATGGAGTATATTAAAGTTGTGAAATTTTTTATGGAGAATTTCCCAATTCTCAAACCATGTTACAGCAAAACAGTGTTGTAGAAGTGTCATGTTGTACAAGGGATACCTGCAATATGCAAATTAGGTGCAACCATCCTATGACAATATGTATGACCTAGTTTTAAAAATGGACAGAACAGAAACAAATTATCTCCTTAGAACAGCATATAAAATCAGCATGAAAATCAGTAAGGGAAATTGCTGTGTTCATTAACAGACCAAACTCAACTGCAAGTGATTACTTATAATACAAAGTGTTTGTAAATCTGATAAGTCATGATAAAATTCATTGTAAGTTGCCAGATGCACAAAGTCTCTCATTCAAAGCACATCATAAGCTATAATACCATGAAAAGTCTGGTAAATACTATGATATCTAATAGTTGTCGCAAGCTGATATACTGGGAAAGGTGGTGTCCAAGTAATTGGTCTGTTGACAGATAATCAAGTCAATCATTTTTCCAACTGTCTCTTAATTAAATATTTCTGATTTGAAACTTCTAAGATAGTAAATGTAAAAAAAAAACAAATTTCCTTACACTTATAGAATGTTTACAAAGGTATTCTTTCTAAGCCAGAAAATTACTACTTTGCCAATTTCTTTTAAACTTCAGTATTTTTACTAATATAATTAACAGTATCAAATTTTGGATAGATTTAGTTCCACACTTAGCTCAGTTAGTTTTTGGTAGTACAGTAGAGCGTTGATTATCTGAATGTTGGTTAACCGAAAGTGTTCCAGTCAGACTGTTATGCTGAATCAAATGTTTTTTATACTAGATTAACTTCTAAAGTATAATTTTTTTTGTTTTTATATTTTTCAATATATTTATTTCATTTTTACAAAATAAATAATTTTTAAGGATACAATAGCCATGATTATTCTTATAAAAATTTTTGTTAGGCTTAACGTCGACAAAAATTCAATATGAAGTGGCATGCAAAGAAGAAAAATTTAAACATGGGATATATTAATACAGTAGACCTCCCTATAACGCGGGTTCATATAATATGGATTTGTATATCACGGCAAAAAAATTGCGATCATATTCGTATAAACATGCTAAAAGAGACCAGTATAATACAGTAAAACATCATTGCTGACTTGTGTTGCAACAGATTGGTCGAATCTAGACCAATAGCAGATATTGCACAAACTGTTGAGTTTAAACACGCAGCAGACCTACTAAAAACCATTTATTATTTAACGGCCATAAAAATTATATTTATATTAATGACTAGCAGACCTTGCCACACATTGTTGTGGCTCAAAATGTATCTATTATAAATGTATAACACTCCCCCGTGGGAGGAGGGAATTTTTCGAAAAATCCTTTCTTAGTGTACATTCTCTTGACGTACCTTATTAAAACGCAATCAAAAACGCAAAAAACCACATCTAAAATAGTATAATTGAAGCCAAGTTCTTCACAGTAAGCCTTAATCCTGTTTCTCCCCCACAGGGGAATATCGAAAAAACCCTTTTTAGTGTATACTCTGTTGAAGTACCCTATTAAAATGCAATCAAAAATGCAAAAAACTGCATCTAAAATAGTATAAATAGAAGCAGAGTTCTTCACGGTAAGCCTTAATCCTGTCTACGCCCCAATGGGGAATTTCAACATGTATATTATATAAAAACAAGTGTGTATTCGAATGCAGCATTGTGTCAAAATTTCAAAGGAATCGGTAGGAACAAATGAGCATTACATTTTTATTTATATAGATAGAGGATGATCTGGGTTCGTTTTTAGTTCATCCTCACAGGAAAGCAAACTTAGGTTGTCGTACTCGTGGAGTTAGCGCCATCTATTGGACATAAAAGCCTTAATCTTAGATAATATCTTAATTTATATGAATGTTCAGCAAATTTTTCACACAAAAATAACTTATCAGGAAACACGCACCTGCTGTTCTATGCGCCACTTTGCAACGAAAACAAGCTTAAGCAATGGTCATCAAATGGCACATACTCGGTAAGTAATCCTACAATTTTTGTTTATAGCATAGTTTATATGGATTATTCCCAAAAAATTGTGTGTTTTGGAAATGTTGAGTCAAATTAGTCTAGAATCAATTAATTTTATGGAAGAAAACCTTTCAAACAGCCATAGTCTCTAAACTGCACACATTCCAGGCTGTGATTGGCTCATGTATTTAAGTGACTTGTAAAACACGGAATTCATATAAAATAAAAACTATATACCATGTTATAGGGGGGATCTACTGTATACTATTGTTGGGATATAATAATATACTATATTAATAATGTATTTTTTCATACATAATCGGTTATCNTAACTATATACCATGTTATAGGGGGGATCTACTGTATACTATTGTTGGGATATAATAATATACTATATTAATAATGTATTTTTTCATACATAATCGGTTATCCAAAAAATCAATTTTCCGAACAACCCCAGTCCCCAATTGATTTGGATAATCGATGCTCTACTGTAGTTTTAGGTACTAGCTATTATACATATTCTAAAAATAATGTCAGTAACAAGCATCTTCCTATTAGCTCTCTTAAAACAGTAGTAGTCAATCATGATGTCATAAGAGACACTTATAGCAAAACTAGTAGCCTGGGACGCCCCCTAGTGGGCATTGTTCACAAATTTCCATGAAGCACAGTTCCTTTGACTTTTTTGTTCCTATCAATATGCTCTACAGCTCTGNTGATGTCATAAGAGACACTTATAGCAAAACTAGTAGCCTGGGACGCCCCCTAGTGGGCGTTGTTCACAAATTTCCATGAAGCACAGTTCCTTTGACTTTTTTGTTCCTATCAATATGCTCTACAGCTCTGTTAAAGTCCCAATGGTAAGATTAGGTGAAGAAGTGGCGACCCCCCCAAACTGTAGCCCCCTGTGCGAACAATAAAGGCAAAGGAACCATACCCCTACTCGCGACCCTTCACGAGATATAAGCCCCTGAAATAATAAATTCCTATTACAAATATACTGAATAATTTATATTGTTAATTTAAATAATAATTAAAATTGTTAATTTGAATGTTTGAAATATGACACATAATAGGGGCGCCTCTAGTGTCCGTTATTAAACGGTTACGGGACGGACGGACACCCGTTGAATGGGTTATATATATAGATAGAATTGACTGGTAACAAGTGTTACAATGTGTTTTGTGAATATGAAATGAAAAATATTAATTTCTGGTAACTTTATGATATTGGAGAGATACTCTGTCATAGTTTATAAGATGTTCATAAATCAAGGCCCAAGATGAAAGAGAAAGAACATTCTTATAAAGGAAGACCAGACCCAAACTGGCATCCCAGGCATGTTAGCACCTAGTATTGAGTTATGGGGAAAAAAATAAAGCTACATCAAGGAATTAGAGAAGAAATTAGACTTACTTTATAGCAATATAACTATTGAGAACTCTGCAAAAATAGTCTCCTTTAAAATACAGAATAAACTACTAGACCATCACTTAACACCCAACACAAACAAAGGCAACTTAACTGGGCATGCAAATATATGAAGTGGAACAATGAATAGCTTTAAGTACTGTTTAATGACAAAGTTTAATCTGGATGGCCCAAATGGTTTACTTATTACTGGTATAATTTAAGGAAACAGGCAGAGGTATTTTCAAAACCGCTAATGGTAGATCAGTGATGGTATGGAGTGTTTTTGGCTTTAATGCACAAATAGAATTAATATTTATAACCCATATAATGAATTCAGATGATCATCAAAGCATGCTCCATGATCATTTAGTGGAAGCTGAACCAGTCATTTGTGGCACAAATTGAAATTTCCAACAGGACAATTCACCCACATACAATTTGAAGTCTACAAAATCATGGTCCAAAAACAATATAAAAGTTATGGACTGGCCTGCCAAAAATCAAGACCTAAACACCACAGAAAATGTTTAGGATAGGCTGTTAAGAGCAGTTTATGATGGGAAGCAGTTTCAAAGCATTACTGTGGTCAAAGTTACAATAGCAAATGCTTCAAACAAACTGAAGCATATCTGCAACACTTAATAGAAACAATACAAGTCAGATCATTTGACATTATTCAGCAACAAAGTAGCAATATTAAACAGTAACTTTGTATGCACTACCAAGATATTAATACATCCTGTCCAGACAAACTTTAAACAATTTATTTTGATATATTTCTGTTTTTGATATTTACAAAGCACTATCATTTTTTTCACCATTTATTGTATTACATCAAACCTTAATAATTGCTATTATGTATATTGAACTTAAACAATTTATTTCTTTCATTGAGTAGCTGTTGATTGGTGCCAAGACTTTAGTTCATTTGTTAATGTCAAAAACACAATTATAGTTAATTTTGGTAATTATAAGTTACAAACTAAACTACAGAGATGAACTAATCTTTAACTTAATCTATAAATAAAACTTCACTTACTTGATTAGTTATATCATATACAACAATAGCAGCTTGTGCTCCTCTATAATACATTGGTGCCAAACTATGATACCTTTCTTGTCCTGCAGTATCCCAAATTTCAAATTTTACCGTTGTATCATCTAGACACACAGTTTGTGTCAGGAATGCAGCTGGGAAAAAAACAGGCAATTAGATTAGTATAAGTTCCTAAATTTGATCAAATTATCAGTAAATATTTAGAAATTTTTTATGATTAAAATGAAAATTTTTTTACAAATTTGTAGGTTGTTTATACAATTTTACAAATGATGTAAATTTTGAATCTAATTTTGTACAAGAATTTTCTACTCCTTGTAAAAAATTCTTTAATTTGATATTGCTGAGGACTACCAAAAAAACCCCAATGTCTACAATGCAGACAAAACTGGTTTGTGTACTGGAAGAAAATGCCAACAAAAACCATAGTTTCTAAGAATAAAATGCAGGGCTGTGGAGTCGCGTAAAAATCTACCGACTCCGACTTTTCCTTACCATCCAATTCTGACCAGGGACGAACTTCTTACTGAAAGGGACCCGGAAATTCTGATGTCATCACGTGACCTCAGAATAAAAGATTCAATAAATAGAGTTCTAATAAAGATAGAGGGTAGAAACTTTATTCCAAAGCTAAAAGACTTCTCTAAGTAATATATAAATATGTATTCGATAATTTTTACTTTTCCGGCTGTTATATTTAACAGAAGAAAAGTGTAGCTCTGGGTCAAAAAATGACCCCTCCCAAATTTTTACATTTTTGGATTCAGGACACCTTGAAATTTCAACATATGCAAAAGATTCGAGGTTTTTTTCTATATGTGTGGATGTTAGACTGTGGGGGGGGGCATGATTTTGTTCACCCTGTTTGAAGCCTAATAATTTGTGGTCAGAGTGGTCAGAATCATAGTCAGATGGTTTAACACAGGAGTTAGTTATTAAGTGTCAAAGTGATTGAACTAAATCGTGTCCCCATATACATTCTAACATCTTAGGCGAGAACATCTTAACGGGTTTTACTGTACTATTATAAAATGACAAAAAAGCTTACTTTGAGGGTAGAGATGAGTTTTATTTTATTTTTTTAAATTTTGAACGCTAATAACGAGTGAAATATTCGTTGAGAGATATGACACATGACCACTTTTATGTCTTCACTCCATTGACCTTTAATTAAGAACCAAAATTTAATAGTATTAATGCCCCTTTATACGCAAGCTACAGTGCCACATTTCGTTTCTTAAATTTTACCCATTCTGAGATATTGTTTAATATCTCAGAACAGAAAATAAACAAATTAAACAAACTAGATGCCAACACACAAGTGCACGCAAATTTTTCTCCTTTATTGACTTTTTTTAGGGGTTCAGGAGATCTCCAAACGTGTAGATTTGAAAAAAAAAGTTGGAGGGTCAAATTTGACTTGATTCCAGTACTCTTCCGTTTTATATACATAACAAGCTGTTAAGTAAAAAGGATCTGTATGTAATACGTCTCTGTAATCCAACAAATGGTAGACAGACTCACAGCAAATCAACACCTGGTTTTAAGGCAAGCGAATCACGCATCACTGTTATGGTATGCGGAAATGTTACCGGAATGCACGGGCTACCTTTGCTTATCGTAGGAAAGTCTAAAAATTCATGGTATTTTAAAGGAATAAAAAATTTCTGGTCACCTACAAAAAGCAAAAATTCATGGATGATACAACCATTTTTATAGAATAGTGTGACACTGTATTTATCCCTTAAGTCAAAAAGCATCAGCTTAAAAGTGGGAATTCTGGAAATGTTTTGTTGTTGAGTGACAATGTCCCAAGTCATTCCTCAAACATTTCACTGGAAAAAGAAAACGGAAAGTTTAAAGTTGCTTTTTGCCTCCAATGTTACTTCAGTCCTCCAACCAATGGATCGGGGGATTGAAAGCTTCAAACGATATTACAGAAAGGCACTGCTGCACATGGTAATAATTGGGGAAGAATGTGAAAAAAACAATTCAGCAAGTGTACGCTGAAATTAACTTAAAGGATGCTATGTACATGGCAGCAGAAGCTTGGCTACTGTGAAGGACACTACAGTGGCAATAGTTTGGAATAAGCTCTTACCATCAGAGGAGTCTATCGCTGCACCTGAAGAGTCACCAAACAGCCAATTTGTATCAACTGTTTGGGCTAATTAAAGAATAGTCTGGATTTGAAAAAATGCAACAAGGAAAGCATTCAAGACTGGCTCAAGCATTGTGTCTATGACCTTGGCTATCAGGTATTGCCGGACGATGAAATCATTGCCAGTGTCACCAATGACTAAAGCCTGATACTCACATGAGGAAACAGATGACTGAAATAGTTGCTGTTCCATCATCTTTGTGTGGCTTGTATAACTCACATGCAAAAATTACCCTACAATTGAAATGCACCATCTGTCAGCCATAAATATAAACAAACTACTACAGTAGGTAGGCAACATGCCAGTAGTCGAAAATGGCATCTACTAGGATTGCTTTGTTATATCAAATAAACTTAAGTTTGCCTTCAATCTTATTGCAAATAAAAAAACCTCAAAAACAAATAGTTTGTATAGGAAAAATATTTAAATCTTCGAAAGTTAGGAATATCGAGTACTTTCATCACCGAATTACGATTACTCCATTCACAATACTTTATACAGTAAGCAAGTCTATTTGCCATTAATATTTAAATCAGATAGTAATATTGTGTATAAATGAAATATATTAGCTTAGTGTACAAATAAAGCTTTTTAGGTTGCTGACCACAATAGTTCGAATGCTATCATCCCATGTGATCTTTATGACGACATTGCTAAACAGCCTTCCTATTGGTCTAATTTTTGCTGTTCCATTTTCTGCCACGGCAAAAGTTGAAAATTTTCAAATTTGTATTCTGTTGACTTCAATGGCAAAAATGATCTCATTTTGCCATTCTGTCATTGGTTTCCATTGTCCATTGCCACATGCGAGTTCCAGGCTTAAGACCCTTGCAACAAAGAGGAAGAGCCTAACAATGACAACAGTACTGAAAAAGGACCATCCAATGAGGAAGCTTTTCACTGCCTTGAGACGACTATGAAGTTGTTAGAACAGCAAGAAGGATATGATGCTATCCAATTGGGCTGTCTTTAAAATGTGCACGAGATTTAGTGGTTAAAAAATGAATCTCAGCTGTGAAGCAAAATACAATTTTGGACTTTTCCTAAACTGTAGGCCTTCTTTATGTAAGGTATGTAACTAGTTTCTACATCGGAACATTTTTGATACTAGATTAACTTCTGAAATATTTTTTTATTTTTCAATATATTTGTTTTTTCTGCAAAATAATAAATGTGGCTATTTTATCATTAAAAATTATTTTATTTTTTAAAAATTTTCGTTAGGCTTAACATTGACGAAAACGTAACGTGAAGCAACACGCAACGGAGAAAAATTTCAACATGGGATAGATTTATATATTTTTTCATACATGATCAGTTCTGAACACCCCCAATACCTCTACTTCCAATAGTTTACAACTATCTTCTTCAGACTGATTTGATTAGACTCCAATGAGAATTTTTCATATTTAAATAAATTAGGAACATAATGGGCAACAATTTTTTTAAACATTTCAACTGCATGCCCATGGAACATACTGTATTTTCATGGAATAACTGGCATAATGCATAAAAATGGGACACTAGCATGTCATTTAAACTGACTAAAATATAAAATTACAGTAGACCCGTGGTAATCCGGCACCTATCTAATCCAGCACCCCTATAATCCAACATGCCTATATGCAGCTCAGTATGCAATGGGCTGAAGAGAATGGTGCTCATACAACAAACTTTTACTTCTGAGGAAACTGAGACAATGCCTTACTCTCGCATTTAGCCAACGTACAACAAAAGAAAATTGATGAATATTTGATGCACCATATTTATTTGTTCATTTTCAAATTAAGATCATACATAGTATGTACTGTACCTTGGAAATTCTTACATATGTTATATGTGATTAATTGACATCAATATGTTTAGTTATTGTTTTTTTGCAAGTGCTATAGCATTAATGACATTAATGTTATAATAAACCCTATGCTATCTATTGTGTTATTTAACTCACTAAGTCCTATATTGTATATTATGTAGTACATATAGATTTGATCTTACCATTTTTATAAGTATGTAATTTGTCAGATTACAAGGTACTCCTTTTCTAAAAAAGTTCCAGACTACAAGGGGTCAGTCGCAGTACTCAATAGTCTGACAAATTCAATCATCCGACACCACTTTGCAAAATGTTTGTCAGATTACCGAGGGTCTACTGTAATCAGATGTAACAAAACTAGCTGTTTAATTAAACTTTTCTTTAAAGTATTTTCTTAGCATAATGTTGCCGTTGAGAATAAATCACACAGGAACACTTTCAGTGGAAAAAAGTTGGTTTATTGGTAGGAACAGATGCATTTTGGGCTTAATGCCCCTCTTCATTCAGATTTATCAGTAAATTGCAGATTTACCGAATGCATTGAAATATTTAGGATATACGTTCAATGGTTTATATACAATAAAACTTAATTACCTGAGATTATAGTGACAGTTAAAACAACACAACTTGTGAGAAGAACTTGTTATTAATTTAATTTTACAAAAATTCTGCCTCTTAATTATGTATTTAATTTTAGATTTAAGTTTACCCCTTTTTCTATTCTAGCACATGTTATATTGTTCCAATATGTATGAGGGTGGAGCTAAAAGAATTTTAGTTCCATTTTTAACTGTGTCTCCTTTTTTCAACTGTGTCTTCTCATGAGTTGTGTTGTTTTAACTGTCACTATAACCAGGGATGGGCAACCTGTGGCCCACATTAATATTTTATGCAACACAGGCCGCAAAAAATATGAATAAATATACCAATTTTCCAGCTTAAGGAAGTATGCAGCAAAAATTCAAACATTATTTTCTACAACTTATGTATGTGAATAGTTTTACCCGAAATGAATTTAGTAAAAATTAAAAACAAGAAACCGGCTAACAGACTCACATCAAAACTAATTTAAAACTAGCAGAGACTAATATTTAACCAAATAATTTCTGATATATTACATTTACATCAGTTCCAGAAGCTAAATTAAGTATACCTA